TTGGCCGTGTATGTGTGTGTGTTTATATGGGGCAGGAGGATGGGATTGTCGGGAAAGCATAGACATGCTAGTTTTGCATCTTTGCCACTTGCATTATTGGGCCAAGGTCATGGAAAAGACACACACATTGTCAAACACTTGAAAAATTAATTAGTGAGAAAAACTGATCCTGTGTTATAATATTAAAACTCTTTCTCTTAGAAGTGTCTAGACAGCACCCAAGTACACACTCACACACACAGATGGAAATATACACATGCATGCAACCACATCCATGCATACTGTACAGACACACTCAAGCAAGCAAAAACAACAGTACATGCATGCCAATAGATGCACACAAGCATCCAAACACCCAGACAAACACATATAGAAGAAATATACTTGCAAGCACAAGTATGCACATTTGCAAGCATGCTTAATACATGCACACAAGCACCCAAGTACACACAAACACAGATGCAAGCGCATGCATGTATACTGGACAGACACATGTACAGACACACTCAAGCATGCAAACACAACAATACATGCACACAAGTATGCAAACACACATATAGATTAAATATACACGCAAGCATGCACACAAGCATGCATATGCACGTGCACACAAGCACTCACATACAATCATGCAAAAACAACAATACAAGCATATGCATATGCATACACATACATACACAAGTATTGTCAATACATCCACACAAGCATGCAAACGCCAAAGCACACACATATAGATGAAATATACATGCAAGTACACATGCATGCAAGCACACAATTGCAGTTGGAACTTATCATTGACTTTTATTGTTTTTATAAAAATAGTACTACTGATATATGAGCTAACGCTATTTTTATTCACTACTCTAAACCTAACCCCCACTGAAAACATTCTCTGTTTTACATTTTCATTATTTAGAATGTTAATTAAGCCGTTTTCCTCACGGGAACCATTGGCAGCTCTTCAGGATGCATGTGATTTCAGGTTTTACTATCATTCTGGGGACATTTGGTCCCTACAATATAAACAAAAGCTGACCCACACACACACACTCCACATACACAATGCACAAAGCGCACCGTAAGCATGCTAACGCTCTACTAAGTGTGTCAGGGGGTTGGGTTTCAATGGATTTGGGGGTTGAAGGTTTCAGTGTAACATTCTCCTCTTTAATCCAACTATAGTTTTAGCGTGTCGGGGGTCAGAATGAGTTTGTCAAGTCAAGTCAAGTCACCTTTATTTATATAGCGCTTTTAACAATACAGATTGTGTCAAAGCAACTGAACAGAGCGTGGTAGAAGACTAGTTAGGTACGCAGTTTGTGTGCTTGAATGCATGCATGCATGTGTGCAGATGTTGCAGTCAGGTCAGATGATGGTGTCTGATCCTGTCTGTCTGCACTGAAGAAACAGACAGCTGTAATAGTGTAACAGAATGAGGTTTCTCTCTAATAGCATTACGGAGAAAAGAGGAGGGGAGAAGAAACAACGGATTTAGAGAGGGGTGCATCTTGAGGAAACAGAATTATGTTGAGCAGAAATGAGTGGCAGTGCAGAGGCCTGTAGGAAGAGTTGTAATGTGATCTTGGGGAAGAGGGTAACATTAAACCCCTGTCTTGGAGGGAGCTAACTAAGTCAGACCATCAGACAGAACATAATTAGGGTACTGTAGAATGTGTCTGAAAGGATTAAGATGTACAATTCGCACTGTATGAATTCAGAGGAATAACTAGTCAAGTAAATTTCCAAACTGTACGAGGTCTGTGGATCAAACGCATGAGCTTTGTTTGAAACACTTAGTAGCAACTAAACAGGATAATGCAATATGCAGTAGCTGACAGAACTGCATCCAAAGCATTGAACTTTACATAACTGGAACTGTAGAAGCTGCTAGACTGTTGTGGTGAACTCCAGGCTCATTTATGTTGCATACAAAATGGGAAAGGCTGACAAAAATCTGATAACTGATCTGATTGGCTGCTACACAACTTCTAGGAGTGAAAGTGCACAGGTTCTTATCAGTCCAACAGGAAAGTTGACGAACCAGGCTGCGACATGAGCTTTCGAGGAACAACTAGTCACTGGACTTCTCTTTGGACAAACCTTAAAAAATAAAAAATATGCAAGAGGATGTTAGTAGCAATGTCAAAGAGTTGTCTGATTTGATGGTATAATAATTAGGGCTGCACGATTAATCGAATGCGATTGTCGTGCGCATTTTGATAGTAATGCCGGTTCTGTAATCAGCAGGAAATCATCATCACGTGCTTTCAGATGGAGCAGAATTTACTACAGAATAGCCGTAGTTCACTGACAAGTTACGCAAAAAAAACGCAGAAATCGAAGAAATCGTTTGCGATAATGACAGCTGTTTGCATAGCTTCTCAGTGAACTACGGCTCTGTGAAGTAAATGCTGCTCCATCTGAAAGCATGTGAAAATACCACATAAGTTTCGGTTCATTTTAATGTTTTTGAAAGACATCGCTTATCAAAGCTGCATCTATTTGATCAAAAATACTGTAAAAACTGTAATTTTGTGATTTATTATTGCAATTTAAAAGAACATGTCTAATTTCTAATAGATATGCTGATTTCTCAAGAAACATTTCCTATTATTGTCGATGTTGGAAACAGTTGTGCTCCTTAATATTTTTGTTGAAATTACCTTTCTTCATGATCCTTTGATAAATGTGAATTTCAAAAGAACATCATTTATTTGAAATAGAAATCTTTTACATGCATTTTTTTATTTATATTTTATCTTTCATATTTAAATTATTTTTTAGCTTTTATTATAAATGTTTTACTGTCACTTTCAGTTTAATATTTACTATTTTTATTTAATGTGCCCTTGCTGAATAAAATATGTTATGCATTTAAAAATCTTACTGACCTGAAACAAAAAGTGTAACTTTGCATAAACAACAATAATATATTTTATTATATACTAAATATCTATTATTAAAAATGATGATATTTAAGTCATATTTGTGCAGTGGCATTTTGTGGTGTAGATTGTTGTACATAAATAAACTATGTCTAATTAAGCTACATGTTTCTAACTTGAGAATGAATAGTTGTTAAAATTTGTGCAATTATCCGAACAGCTCAGTAAACTCACTTTGTGAATACTGTTATTGTGTGATGTTCTTTGAATGGTACCAATTATGCGTTAGCTAAATATTGAAAAAAGGTGAGAACAGATTTTTAGCTGATGACAAAAAGTGTGAATAATGGCAGAAACATCAGCTGATTATCGGTCCATCTGTAGTTCTTGGTTATACAGACGAGAAGTGCGAGTTTGAGCAATTCAGAGCTTCAGGAGCCGAAGCCGCTTTATCATTTCACCGCCCCTCTTTATTCTCTCTCTGTCGTTCTCTTACATACACGCACTATGTTTTATCTCCCCTTTAATTTATTTTTTATTCTCCGTGCGCCTGGCTTCATAAATCAGATGATGTGTTTCCCAAGATGCACTGCGCTGTACAAGCTTCTCTTATGAGGCGTGTGTGTGAGTGTGTGCACATCTTTATTAAGCAGCATTTGTGTATGTCACGGCTCCTGTGAGACGGAGAACAAAAGGAGGCGAGTGTTTATTTCTCTGTCGAGGTGTGACTCTGATATATCGACACAGATCCTCAACACATGCTGAATAGACAGATTCAAAGCCTTCATACGTCTGAGCATGAACTATAGTTAGATGATCATCTTCTGCATGATTTTATAAAGCGAGCTGGTAGAATTGACCCAGATTTTTAATGTGTGTGTAGCAGGAGTTTGCGCTCACAGATCAACACTCCTTGCAGTCTTTGCTTTTAATAAAAGTCCACGAGTTCTTCACTGTAGTTTTACCATGACAAGCATGCATGTGTGTGTGAGTTTACAATCTCGCTCTCAATCTCCCCTTTCTTTTGTGTATCTGTGTTTATCTGTGCATCACACACACACACACACTTTCTACCTGCTTCTATTTATTTGTCAATCACTCAGTCACTGTTTCTATCTCGATCACATCTCCTGCCAGAACACTGCCTGCCTTTGTGAAAAAGACGTGTGCTTAATTATATTGAATGCGCACTTGTACTGAACTTCAAATCTTAAAAGTACATTTATACAAAACTGTACTTGCAGATAGTATAAAATTTATGAAAAAAGGCCACTTAAGTGTTTCTTAGTACACTTAAGTGCACAATGTAATACTAAATTAAAAGTTTAATTAAAAGTACATTTTAAATCATTGTTCACAATCATTTATCACTTAATCACCTAACCCACCTAACCCTAACCCTAACCCTAATTACAAATATATTTAAATACTTGACACAAGTCTTAATAGGCATGACATAAAATGTAACAGAAATGTAAAAAAATTCATGTTAAAAAGCATATATGTATATGCATATTGTGGGATGTATATCCCACAATTCAGAGGTTTTTGTTGCTGTTTTTTTTATATATAATTATGAGTTTATATCTTGGACTGGACTTTATATCTCTCAATTCTGACTTTTTTCCTCTGAATTGCAAGAAGAACAAAAAACACAGAATTATAAGATATAAACTCAGAATTCCAAGAAAAAATTTTGAGATAAAATTGTGAAATTAAATTGTGAACATCCAAACTGTGAGATTAAAAAGTCACATTACAATAGTATAGTAATTACAGTATATTTTAATTTTCTATAAATGCTTGTCAGTACATTCAAAAGAAAACTTTAACCATATTTCAAAGACTAAAGAAGTAATTATGAAATTACACATGAAGATGCACTTCAGTTCTGCTTAATTGGGTCAAAAAAAGCACTCCTAAGTTCACCTAACTGCATTTATTATGTCATTAAAACTATAATACATTCCCATTCATTTGAAGTTAACCTGCAATTAAGTGTCTGAAAACAAGATTTATTTCCATAAGTACTCTTTTTAAATGTATGCTGAAGTGCGCTTCTTTTTCACAAGAGTGTCTCTGTCTCTCTCTCTCTCTCTGTCTGTCTGTCTGCAGGAGAATCCATATCTCTGCAGTGATGAATGTGACGCATCTAACCCTGACCTGGCTCACCCGCCGCAGCTGATGCAGGACCGCGAGCGCAGCGGCCTCATCACCTACTGGCAGACGGTCACGTGGCGGCGGTATCCCGAGCCTCTTCAGGCCAACATCAGCCTGTCCTGGAACAAAACCCTCGAACTCACCGACGACATTCAGATCACCTTCGAATACGGCCGGCCCACCATCATGGTGCTGGAGAAGTCGCTGAATTTCGGCCGCACGTGGCAGCCCTACCAGTACTACGCCGACGACTGCGTGGACTCGTTCAACATGCCGGCGAGACGAGCGCGCGACCTGACCGTGGCCAACATCACGCGCGTCATCTGCACGGAGCAGTACTCGCGCTGGGTCGGGTCCAAGAACGAGAAGGTGGTGCGGTTCGAGGTGCATTCCCGCTTCGCCATTTTTGCCGGCCCGAGGCTGCTGAACATGGAAGGCCTGTACACGCGGATGGAGAGCATGAAGGGTTTACGGGATTTCTTCACGTTCACCAATCTCAGGCTCCGCCTCCTCAAGCCCGCTCTCGGAGGAACGTACGTCCAGAGAGACAACCTGATGAAATACTTCTACGCCATTTCTAACGTGGAGGTGCTGGCCAGGTGAGAACACACAAACTAAACAACCAGCATTAAATATTAAAACACAGCAACACTGACTTAGCCAATGGCGTGAGTTTGGGGGCGGGACTATCTGTTTGACTGACCAATGCTAGACGGCTAGGCTGGTCTTTTTTAACATTACATACTTCACCTTTAAATGAACAATTTGTTATTCTAGCTCTTTTGCAGTTACAAATTTGAAAAACTCAGGATTCATAAATATGTATGAACATTCTGAATTTGGTATTACCTGATATAAATTTTAATTCTTATTTTTCATTCATATTTAATTATATGAAAATATAAAAAATAAAATACATTTAAATATAATTAATATTATAAATTATATATTAAAAACAAAATAAAATATAAAAAGGTGATACAAATTTAAAAATATACATATACAGTATATATACACACACATTTAAAA